ACTTTTGAGTACAAAATGAACAAACGAGCGCCAGTAGATAAAGTTAAAACGAACTTGGCCACAACGGAAGTTCCGAGTCACACCAGAATGTCCTCAGAGAGTGCCAATTCTTTCAGCAGTCAGTTTCCGTCGTTGTCCTGACAGGGAGAGGGTGTGGTATTGAATTGAGTGGTGGGCTACGGCATAATAATACCAGAGAGTTTTACAGTATTACTGTTACTGTAAACTCTTTGATAATACTGTCTCTGATACATATAATACTCTGAGGGTTGAACGCTTCACGTACGTGGCTGCTTATAACGGATGGTAATTAACGCCGCCTTGCAAATTATTTTACGACAATATTAGTGCGATTGTCTCACTAGGCCCTACTATTCAAGTTCGTAAATTAGCTTTAGCTTCCTTTCAGACTTTCAGACAAGTTTAGATGTATTGATGGACTTGTCCGTGTTTAGCTATGGATCTGGTGTATATGAGTTTGGATAAACACAGACATTCTCTCAGTTTTCATACCCAAACGTAATTAGGCCTATTGAGATTTTTATGATGACGAGGTAACCCTGAATTAATGAGACTACGTTGCAAGTTTCTATTTGACATGTGCATGACCTGAGTTTTTAGAGCATATACTTGATTCAAACTTTAAGTCCGAAAGTAACTTCCTCCTCCAAGTGCATAAAATTTTCGGCCCTCCTCTCTTTCTCTTTCCTCCTTATAATCCGTCTTAAGGCTTGATGGTTACTGTTCTAAACGCTCAAAGAAGAGATATTGGGTTTTTTTTCAAGGCGCTACTAACACACTTCCATTTTCTCTTTCTGATTTCTATATTCTCTTCATTTGTTCGCTCACATAGTTGTCCGTTCATATAGATCTATGGTGTCCGTACGTGGAGTCATGCCTTGAACTGTTCTGATTTTTTCAAGCTGCTGCAGACAAATGCCCGTATAGATTTTTTTAAAAATTTGTTGGAAATTTGTTTTCTGAATTTCAAAAATTTTGATCCAATGAGTAGTCACTTTTGTCAGTTTTTGTTGCTTTTTTTTTTTTACACTGGTGTTGCAAATCCTTAGTTTGGTTCTCGTTTCTGTAGTCTTAAATTTCCATACGTTTCTGGGTAGTGTTAAAACGTCTCCTGTCTAGCCTGTTTTTTGTCTTTGACATCAGCGTATGTTCCTCTAATTTAACCTTGTCTATTATGCTCCTTAAGTTAGGGAAGAAATCACTCTAGTGGTGCTTATAATTGCATGGTAATCTGATCATTGATTGGTCCGTAGTACCGGTAGAGTGGTCTTGTCTGGGTGTTCCGAATAGCATTTTAAGGCCTATTATCTGTAAGGTATTTAGGACATATCTTTTTTTTTTATCCTCCATACCTTTTGGTGTCTGTGCAAAAGTAAAGTAAGGCCATTATCAAATTATGACATCCTCATAACAAAAGTTACCTTTACGTAAAATAGTGGCTTATGTTTTCAAGCTATTAGTTGGTCATCTATTGTACTTATCGATTATAATCGTGACAACTTTCTAACAGACTTTTAGTTTGTACGTTTGTTAGACTGAAGTTACCTTTGGTACGGAGCTTTTAAATGATAAAAATGTGACAAACTTTACTCAGCCAGAATATTTGTATCACCGGCCACAGCAGAAACCACAATAATATCATCATAACCTTATTCTTCAAATTTCAAATTCTTTTATTTGGCTGAAGAAATATTCTCCTCCTGCGGATGTATTGGTCATCGTCAGACATTGACGGACGAGCTATTATTATTACTATTGGTATGACTGAGACTGAGAGATTCTGTCTGGTAATCAAACTGAACACAGTGACAAAAGTTTTGGGAATGGATACCCGAGTCAGCCTAAAAATAAATACATGTAGGCATAGACTATACACGCTTATATATGTAGTTTTCATTTGCTGATGCAAGACTGGCGATTCGTTGCAAAGGCAAGACAAAGTAAAGTTTAATTCGAGTAGGTCTATCTCGAAACAGTCCTGATCGATTATTTAGCTTCCTGGGTTCTCGCACACCCAATAAATATCCCTGACTCAATATGTGAGGTTGTATAAGAAGAGCTTGTAAATCGTAGCGGAGACTTGGGTGAAATAAATAAATCTGAACGCCTCTACCCCGCTCTATGCACAACTTACAAGACTGAAAGAAGACTTATCCAAAGCTAAGCCCATTTCTTTTACTCCAGGCTTAGAAATAAATCTGCTGGATCCTCCCCGCGCTCCACGCACGTCCAAGACTGGAAGAATGTATTAAGACTTAACCAAAGATAAGTCCATTTCCTTTACCCCAGGCTTGGACCAATAGCAAAAGAAAAAAAAAGCCTAATAATAATAATAATAATAATAATAATAACAAAAACAACCCAACTAGCTAGATCAATTACACACAAAGTACGTCACAGCGTCATAGCCTAACGTAAATTAGCCTAAGTAGAAATTCTAAATTTTCTTTCAGATGTCCCCTTTCCCATAAAATTTAAATGGAAATAAATAAATCAGTGGCACTAGGAAATCATTAGGGTAGGTCTACCACTCAGATAACACCCACCAGTTTGATTAATTTTAGTTTGAAACAGGACGCAAAGCAAGACTCAAACTTTCGCGGAGAGGGGGGGGGGGGGGGGGCATTCCTATTGCGTCACTGTTGACCCCGGAAACCCGGAACCAAAACTAGCAACCAGCCTCGCCTTATAAATCCTACGCTGCAGAAGAATCCATTCACTTGACAATAAGTCCACCGGGTTCGTGTCAGGCGACGTATTTTCAGTGTGTTGACTGCTGTTGGCCATCGTGCAGGTAGAGCAGATAAGTTTAGTTATTTATCAGCCACATACCTTTATGTCTGTCCGTTGCATGTACTTGTATGTTTCATGGTATTTTTATAGTTAACTTAATTAAACGAAACATTAAATTCTGCTCTTCTTGTCATGGTGTATGCTTGGTACGTTGTTGATTTTTATACTTTTATACTAGACTTAGATCTAGAGTCTAGTCTAGATTCTAGTCTAGACTAGAGTCTAGATCTAGACTCTAGACTCTAGATTCTAGAGATCTAGATCTAGATCTAGATCTAGATATAGATCTATAGCCTAGATCTAGAATCTAATCTAGATCTAGAAATCTAGATCTAGTATCTAGATCTCTAGATCTAGATCTAGATTAGAATCTATATCTAGATCTAATCTAGATTCTAGGCCTCTGTTACTAAGTGCAAACTTCCGCTTGGAGTTGGACTTGCTAAAATGAAGCATGAAAAGAGGAAATGGGAATGCATTTTTACAGAGATCTAATCTAGATTCTAGATCTAGATTAGATCTAGAAGATCTAGAGTCACGAAATC